AACGGTCGGGGATGGTTTTGAGGAGATGAACGTAGCGCCAAACGTATGAAGCCTCCAACGTATCCACACGAACTTGCTCCGGAGTCCTAGATTAAACTTGTGCTAGCAAGTTTAATATAGGATAGTAAAACTATAATAATACTACTTTGGGAGTAATAAATATATAGTAAAATATTTATCTTATAAATATTTCTTTATAATATTTTGTGTATATTTCTAACACTTTAGAAAAATAACTTGGAACACAAAATAATATATTTTTCTCCTTTCTCTCTCTATGGCCGAAAATCACTCATCAAATGGGGAGGGATTTTTTCTCATTTTATAACATAATACATTAAGGAATTTCTAGGAATTTGCTTAGGGACAAAACAAAATAAGATTAGTGTAATGTCCCCAACCAACACAACAAGACAAATATCCTTTTGTTAATCAAATATTTGATTATAAAATCAAATATATTATTAGGTAAAAAATCAAATTATGTTTTGTATTTTTCCCAATGTATTTTCGGCCATCTCACATTAAAATACATTACATTTTATTTTTACATCAATAATTATCATATAATTAAAATGATGAAAATAAAAATAATATATATATATATATATATATATATATATATATATATATATATATATATATATATATATATATATATATCGGCGCTACATATATATATATGATAAAATTTGTTTTGTCAAAATATAATTATCATATAATTAAAATGACACAAACAAAATATAATTTTAAATTACATATGTATTTTCGAAATACATATATATAAAATTATCACAACTATATATTTAATATTACTCCCACTAATGTAGTATACTACTCCCTTACAAGTCCTAAGTGTGTGACCCTTTAGGTATCCATAACACTGGCAATGATATTAATATAAATTAATACCATAGATAATAAGCGGTATCTAGCAACACATTATTATCCCCAGATTATGAAAAAAGACGTTCATCTCATCAATACCTTCTATGACACAAGACGTTCTATAACTATTATCCTTCTGTCCTAAATGTCATGATTTAACACAAGGCATGAGATGTGTATCCTTGTACAGTTAAATCAACTGTTACTGAATCTCAAGTAGACTGGCAGGGATCAGATATTTATCAGTCTCTGGATAGCGACATATCTGGGCATGGTCATGCACTTTCCCAAGTCCTACTATTCAGTGGGCCCATTGACATTATACTTCTATACAGTAGAAGGGACAAATCCTGTATCTGTTATTCACATCTCTAAATACGCTTAGCGGCATACCCAACGCATAACTGTACGTCTACCAGTATTTCAGATAGCATTAGTTATGAATCAAAGCATACGGCCCCACATATCAGAGAATGTAATAACTTCAAGTCTGAGGATAGTTATAGCAAGGTCGATTTTAGAATACTGATAAACACATTACTGTAGATCCATGCAGTATTCTCAAGATGGGTCAATCCAGTCACATATTATCGATATAATATGCACCTACGTACAGATTAAGATATCACAATACCTATAGTCTATGAGACACAACTATCTCATCTCGCACGTACTAGTCTTGATACGTTATGACGTCCGTATTATCATAAAGTGCGACTAGGGATATTCTAGACATAGCCTTTGTCAAGAAGTAACAGTCTCATAATCAGAACATCGTAGTCCACATCTATGTTACTAAAGCGCTATCGTCTATGGACTGAAGCTATGTTATGTTATACGAGATATAAAACATACTTCAAGGCCTTTCATTCATGATAAAGTGTACAGTTACATAGGTATTTGATTGCCGCTAGGGCACCTAAATACAACAATCTCCCACTTGCCCTAAGGCCAATCAAGCATTTCTCGAATGCCCATGGACCACGTATGACTCTCGTGTTTAGGCTTTCCCAAAGCCTTCGTCAACGGATCTGCGATATTGTCATCTGTACCTATCTTGCAAATCTCAACGTCCCCACGTGCAACGATTTCTCGTATAATGTGATAACGTCTAACGATGTGTTTGGTCTTCTGGTGAGACCGAGGTTCTTTCGCTTGTGCAATTGCCCCATTGTTGTCGCAAAACAACGGTATAGGGTTCTTGATGCTAGGAACCACTCCAAGCTCAGTAATAAAATTCTTGAGCCACACACCTTCCTTGGCTGCCTCGGCTGCAGCCATGTACTCTGCTTCTGTAGTGGAATCAGCGGTAGTATCTTGCTTGTAACTCTTCC